CTATGTTTTAGGGAAAATAACTTTAAGAACTTATTTCAAAATAGCAATAGTCTATATACATTGTTACATATTAGAATTTCGAATAGTCCCGAAGCCGAGTTAACTGATAATTTTAATTTAGTAGTTAAATTGTACTTTGGATTTAGTTTTTAAATATATGCCAACATATTAGTCAATTTACAATATTTGCTAACAAGATTGATACACATCATCTTCATTTTTAACACAAATACATTTTAATATGCACACAACAATACAATTTACAGTAACAATTATTACAAATAGTTATTACAAACAATTATTTATAAACAAAAGTTTTACAAACAATATAAAATCTTGTTTCTAGTTTGGAACTCCCTTGATATCTTATCGAGGGTTTACGATGAGTGAGTTAATTACGATTCGTTGGGAAGCTAGCTAGCTTTGTCCTTGGCCACACATGCTAGGGGTTTCCATGGTTGAAGTTAGGTAATGTTTTTGCAAAAATACTAATGTCTGATGAGAATCCTCTGAAGTTAAATAATTTGTAAAGTTTGAACTTTGTAAATCCTCATAGTCAAATATCTAAAGTTTTCCGGTTGATAAGCGTTATAACAATCACAGTTATAGCTTTTGAAGTTTATAGCACATTGATTATAGCAAACTACTAATAGACATACTCCTTTTGGCACGTCGCATTGGTTGTATTTATAGGCGTGGGAAGGTTTTCTAAAAAAATTCAATTACATAACAATACTGAGCTATATTTAAACATTTACCTAAATAGATATATTGTTAAATCCTACTTTCCAGAATCTTCTACAACTTTGGAGAATAGGTGGGAGTTTTGCAATACACATCTAACACTATAAGCTATGCATGTTTTTAAATATAATAAGAACTTATTTCAAAATAGCAATAATCTATATACATGTATAATGTATAATAATTGAAATGTGACTGTATTTTACAAAATATTAGTCGACTAAAACACAGCTAAGACAAGTTACCTTGTACAGACCAAAGGTCACTTTTGTTGTTTGATACGGTAACATGAGCGCATGTGAGCCGTGTTATTGTAACTTCTGTATTGTTAGCCTTGACAATTAATTGCTAACAAATTCCACTAAATACCCAGATCTATTGCAGCCTTTGCGTTGTACCAGTTATTTTAAATATGTAGAGGGCATATGCAGTTATTTGTCTGGTTGCCAGAGTATTATTTTTAACTTGAATAGAATCTTTTGTGTGATTCTTTTTCTGTTCTTTTACAGATACTCAATCCTTTCTATATTTTTCAAATCGCCAGCATGACACTCTGGAGTCTGGACAGTTACTATTACTATGCTTCCTGTATTCTTATTATCTCCATTATATCAATTACTGTATCATTATATGAAACCAAAAAGGTAATTAAAGCAAACAATATCATTTCTTTTGCAGTTCGCTTCTTTATGTCACTGTATTTTAACTCTATTGCAACAGGCTCGGTTCATCTAACCAAGTTTGTGACCCTAAATTGACCTTTAGAGTTTCTTTACTATAACTTTTAATATCTTTTATGTTCTTCATATAATTTTGCAAGTTTTCAGCAAACATTGCAAGTCTTACATAGACAGAAAAGTATGATTTTTAATACAGTATTTTTACTAAAAAAATTTACATGAATATGTGGAGTCAAAGTGTCAACTGCATCTGAGTTCAAAGGGATTTTATTTTAAGATTAAAAAATCGTTTCTTTGTATAATCTCTAAAATCTCCTAAATAAATGTCAAACATTTTTGTTTTCAGTGAAAATATATTTTATCTGTTAATTTCTGTACACTAACTCTATACACATTTGGTCAATTTGACCAACCTCATAACCACCATTAAAACATAAGAAATATATCTAAATTATCCTTTTTCTTTCTAGAATGACTGCAGATTGTAACAGTTGTTTATCCTAAATAGCTCAAAGCTTGTGACAGTATACATCTGGTTCTAGTTACATTTTATTGTTTTATTGCTCTTTGAACCACATCTGACTAATATTCCAGCCACATAACTTGTAAATCACTTGGTGAAAGTGTAGCTCACGTTAGCGTTACCATATGAAATTACATAATGCACTAGCAGACAGGTCAAAGAGCATATGTTACATATTTTTTAAAGAGTTACATTCAGAATTCAATTAAACTATTTTATTGTCATTGTATACAAATTAATTTGGCATCAAAATTTATTTAATAAATCAAATGTTAATGTTATATAAATTTTAAGTTTTAATTTTATAAGGAAGTATTAAAAAAATATCCTCAATATCCCCTAATATGACACTTGCTCTTTAGGTCTTCCTTTAATTTATTACCACTCTCTGAGAAGTACAGAACTTGGCATAAATTTTTTATTATAATATTGTTATTACTCAGACTAAGCATAATTTTTGTAGCCTTCAATCTTATTTGTTTACAGAGCCATACACTAGAAAATAAGATCCACTTGTCACACTCTCTCTATCAGAAATTGCCAATCTCTGACATTGCATACTACTCTGAGTGGTCACAAGTAAATAGACACCTAATTTTTCGTGATTTAACTGATTTATGCTAACTAATTTGTGTTCACAGAGCACCATATAAATGAAAATGGTCTGCACACTAATTATCTTGTGCTACAACATGCCTAGAACTCAAGGTTCTCTCGAATTGTCAGATTTTATTAGAGGAAGGATAGTTGGTCAAGCAGATGGTGGAATAAGTCAGCAGCAAATTTCCCAGAATTTGGGAATCCCGCTTTCGACAGTCAACAGATACATCGTGCAGTTCAGGAAACACGGCAAGGAAACAACTGAGCAGTGTCCGGGTCATCATGGTCCATCGGAGAGGACAAAAAGGGCTGTCAAGAGGAGCATCAAAATGGATCCCAGATTAACGACTGCAGAAGTGGCCAAAG